AATAATTATTACGAGAAAAATGGATTCACTAAGGGAATACAGTAAAATTACCTGTTCAGAGTGCTATGTTACCATAATTGTATTATTAAAATGCATTTTTTTTAAATATATATTTTATGAGATTTAAAAATGTTAATTTAATGCAGTACAAAAGCTGAAACAAAAACAGTGTAAAGTTACATCGAAAATCTGCACTAAATAAACTACTCGAAAGCGCATAGTATACCTCTCATAAGCCATCATAAATATAATCATTTATCATGTAAAAAAAAATTCGTATGGAAATCAAATTACTTTTATTTTTATTTTTTATTGAACTTAAACCCGGCAACTAGAGCCATTAGCTGTTTGTAGGGGTTATGAAATATGGTAAGGGATAAGGTTGGTACGGTAGGTTGTATTTTTACGATTGTTATGGTTAATAGCAAACACATGTATGTGTGGCAAGGTTTTTAACCACTATGATCCCGAGTGGTCACCCATCCGAGAGCTAGTAGCTGTGGCCGTTACATACTCTCAGTCGCATTCTGCGACTGGTAGCAGCCAACACGCCACGCCAAGCCACTCAAATAACTTTATAGGATGTGAATTTTTGTAAATCAAATGCTGTGAACGATTAATCGACAGTCGAGTATAAATTTATCTAGGCGTGTACTATTTATACTAGAATGATGATGATAAATCAACAATTAATTACCAATCAGATAGAATTTTCTTCAATAAACTATCCCATAGTTAAAAACCAATGCATTTTTTACTACTCCAAATAGTAATAAGTAATAACAAACAAAAATAAACATCATTACATCATTGTAAATCAATGATATATTAATTTCTCTGCTCAATATCTAAAATTAAATTTCGTTCACATAATTAAGTAAATTATTGTATCTAACATTCATAAAATCTGTTATCAAAAAATACCATAAAAACAATAGATTATTTAAAATGTTTATAAACAATAAATACTTTTATACAACTAAAAATAAAATTATTTATCTAATGACAAAAACATTTTTTTTTTTTTTCTAGCATTTTTATAATTTTTATAGTGTACATATTTTCTTTACCATTGTGCTATAAACTATTATTTCTAGTATTAAAATATATTTAGTAATACAATTTTTTTTTAATGGTATTTTATCTATTTAATTTTAAAGTATTTATAATACTGAAAATATAATTAATAAAACCTTTATAATACATACCTATATCCAATACACAGAGTTAAAATTATTTTTATGAATTCTGTGATATACCTATATAATTTATATATACATATATGTGTATGTGTGTGTCAAAATAAGTTCATTTTTTAGTAAAGGACTATAACAACTTAATGTTGTTCTAAATAAATATTTATTACTATCTATTATTTAATAGAATATACGAATACAATTATAAATATCTATCTAGTATTAGATTACTTACCATTAAATAAAAATAATTAAATTAAAATATTTACTAGTTTACAACCACTTAACACATTTGTTACTCGAAATTCCACATTTGAGATATATTTGATTCGACCAAAATTAAGCACTCACCGAACATTGTAGCCAAACTCACATTTCAACACTATAGTTACCTCTAATGTTGTGCTTGTAATTTTATTTCAATAAATAATAGACGTAACTAAATAAAACCAACAATGCAATGTACTTTGTTTCAAGGATTAAAGTAATAAAATATAATATTATATTGGTACTTCAATTTTTGTTTACAAAAAGCATTGTTGACACACGAGAAAAACCATTTTAAGCTGAATAAAACTATTTTCTTTGTCCAGTTTAAAGGTCTGTGGATCCAATGTAATTACAGAATAGACTTTCAATGCATGTCCGATAAACAAAATCTATCCGTAGCTATGAATTATTCAACACAACCGAGAGGCAATATTTACCTGCAACATCTCTCCTATCCTTTTTTACAATCAGTGTAACTGGGGGTTTTTTTTCAATTGCGGATAAACATATGCTTGATTATACTGAAATTCAACATTGACAAGTATAAGAAAATCATAAACTTAAAACTAAATCTAATAACTATATTTATGTCCATCTTCGTGAAAAATTGTTTAGTTAAAACTTAAATACCTGACTGTGATCAAAAATAATCATAACAAATTCGATTTCGTTCTTAATAAGAGAAAATTAAATTTAAACTTTTGTCGCATCTTACAATATGCTTTGATAAATTATTAAAATAAAGAAATACCCTTCTTTTATAGTTATAAGTAATAAACATTTTTTTTTTTTTTTTTTAAAAGCAAAGCAACAACCCCAAAAAAGTTTTTTATGTCATATGCGTATGTCGTACACAAATTAATCTTCTAATTAACTAACTTGACATAAGAAAAATCACAGAAAACGTGCATGTAGACAAATTACTCTTAGCTCTGATAACATAAATATCTTATAAAAACTGTTTAGAGTTGCATTAACAAACATTTGAGAATTTTAAAAATGACGCAATAACAACTTTTAACACAAACTTTATCTTATAGAATGACAATGAAGAACATCTTCAAAATTTAACATTTAATATTAATGGTTCCAAAAACATAAATCAACGAAATTAATATGTCACTGAAATTAAAAATTAAATAAGCTCGGTTCTGCAATAAGGTTTATTATTAATTTTATGATAACGCACATAGTTTATATTGTTTAAAGAACTTTAAATAGGTAGATATTTTAAGAACTATTATAAATAAAAATATTATATTTATGCTAGAATATTGGACATTTTTAATATATTTTATGCAAACTAAACATCGACGTCCAATAAAAATTGAATGAAAATTTTGATAATATACAATTTCAGCTAATAAATTAAATTTAACAAATCAAAAATTAGTTACTACTAACTAATTTTGAAATAAAATACTTACATATAGCATTTAAGAAGATGTGCATTTGGGTAATCATAACGATAATTATAATAATTATTAAAATTGCTGTAATGTTTATGCGAATTTCATTCTAACTCATGGTACTTTTTAAGGAAACACCGCAAGATAGAGACGTTACAATAAGCTTCCAGAGATGAGCTGTTTTTATTGTATAATCAATATTAATTCAAGCTTATATGGACTGTTTTGATAGAGACCAAGAGTAAATTTCTTACATAAAATGGTTTTGGTAGTTAAAAAAACATACTTACAATAGATTAGGCAATTTTCGCCATAGAATTTTATTTTTAATAGGTGAAATGGAAAAGAAAATATTATTAGATGTATGAAAATCAAATATATCCTTATGAAACAAACTAAAAATCAATTTGTATGTAGCCTTTTAAAATAAACTAGTAACCAATTTGAATATAACTTCTATTTACTGATGTGTGTCTGCAATTTTATCGATGACCTTTACGTAATTTTACCAATGTATTTTTTTACTTATAACTGATGACAGCCATCATTGTGTTTAAATAATGTTCATATTTAACATACAATATATAATAAAGTCAACAATTGTACTAAAATTCTATTTTAATAAGCCATAAATACATGATATTATTATAATACAATATAATAACTAATAAGTAATAACACATCAATTTATTTTTAAAAATTATAGCTAAAACAGAAAGTATTTTATAAAAATAAATAAATATAAATACAACATAATACAATTAATATTTTTCACTTTTAAAAATTACTTAAATACAATAAATGATTTATTTTTATTTACAAGTCAATAAACAATACATTTCTTGACATTCGATCTATTTTATAATACCTAAAATTTTAACTAAGCATTACGATTTATACTGTTTTTACTTTTTACTATTATTCATTGATGTACAATCGTCACCGATACTTAATTATAACAATTATACAATTTACTAGTAAATAAATAGTAAATATCTGACAAAAAAAACCTAATCTTGTTGAGTCATATTTTGATGTGACTTTGATTTTTTCTATTTTGTTACACCACGAGATCACTTCTAGCACTAAAATTCACCATAGCTCCAATCTCACGGCTAATAACCAAAGTGACTCGGTATACTCGTAATAATCATTATCGGTTCCCGATAATTTATTTTAAGAGCTAATATTTTATTTAAAACAACTTAAATAAATTTTTTTCAAACATTTTCCATCAATTAAATCAAATGTGTTTTCACCAATTAATAATAATTATTGATCGCCTCTAAGGATTGAAAAAATACGCACGGAGATCTACTGGACATATTAACTATAATAATATGTAATCAGTCATTCGGTTAAAAATAAATTTTATTTTCTACTGTTGTTTTTTTTTTTTATATATGCGGTTATTTTATTATAGGTAACTTCATAAATTTCTAAATAATCAAACAATACAGCACTTCAAAAAGTTTTAAGTCTACGTGTATAATCGAAGGTTATTTGACTATGGAATATTACCCTATAGATAAACAAAATAAATTATTAAACAAAAAAAAAAAAAAATAACAAAACAAAAAAAAATTTAATCAAAACAAAAATAAAATAAAAATTGCTTTTAAAGTAATGGGAAACTTATATTATATATCCATACACACTCGGCAAGGAAACACTCATACAAAAACATTGTTTCCGGTGTTCGAGAGTCATTAACAAGTGTAAGATGTTTTTCACACAAAAACTTTCAACATTCTAACACATTTATGTGTGTTTCAACCATGACTTTTTTCGCTCCATTTGACAAACATACACGACAACGTGTCCGTCTTTCATATTTTTTCTTTTGTACCCACCACTGTACAATAGCAGCCAATTATTGCGTTTGTAAATATTATTATTTCTTATGTATAGTTATAAGTATTAATCATATTATACACAAAACTCAAAGTAAAAAGAAAAACTGTCACTATGGAGACACCACCGCCACATGTACAAAGCAATGAAAAAAAATAAAAAAGCAAATTATATATTTTAGAACTGTTTGAGTAGCAATAAAAGTTTGGTTCGGTGTTGACGATAGTGTAGTGTTTTTACTATCATAAAGTCTATCGTCGACATTTTCTAAATGGAAAGCCGAAAAACATCAGTAAGAACTGACGAAATTGAAGCGTTGGATGAGGTGGGAAATTATTATAATTACCTACTACCTACCGTCTTATTAATAAAAAAAAAGATTTAAAAAGTCTTTTAAACCTACAACATAGAAAATGTACGTTCAGTAGCATCAAATTTACGTTGTTAGCTTTAACATTAAAAGTGAAATGACTTATTATCAAATTTAAAGGTAAGAATATTATCTAGAGTATCTCAAAGGTTTTTATTGATACTTTAATTTTAAAATGTGTTATTAAAATTTTATTTTATTTAGATTTAAAATTGTTATACCTCACTTTAAAATTAAAATACAAATAAACACTTTCAAGGATTCGATTTATAATATGTTTACCTTTAAATTGTTAATTGGGTAATTTACTCTATTATACCAAAGGCGATAACGCGAAATTGATTTAAAAAATATGAGTGAAATAGTTTAAAATTAAAAGTAACTTCAGTTATTTTAGTACAAATAAAATATACGTATAATAAATAAATAATAAAATGCTTTAACCATCGTGATTAGATAGTTATTGAAAGAAGTATAATAATTAATTCAAATCACGATAAGCTTGCACGCGGAACTAGTTTACCAATTTAATCTTTACAATGATAAAAATAATAATCATCATTATCAATAGAAATTTACATCACTTAAAATACACTCAATTATTCCAATATAATTAAATTAAATTAAGCTTTATTCTTGCTTTCATTTCTCATGATATATATTATAAATTATTTTATATCAAAGCTTCAACATATTAAACTCAAATATATATATTATAAACAATAGTATATAATTTATCAAATATTATATAAAATACGTATGACAATGTTTAAACAAGTTAAAATTTCGGTTTATTAATCTTGTGTTTAGAGTTTTTTGCTAATTCTTAATATCCAGTAAATTAACGTTGATTTTTAGTTATTGCCAGAAGACGACTTTTTAACGTCTTCGAAACACCATCAAACTCATCAATTACGAATATGGGAAGGCCAGAATATTCATGAAGATCCGAAGAATGCTGAATCTTATGAAATCGAAAAACGAGAAGTAATTATTACTGTTAACAACTTCATTACAAAGTTATACATCGAGAGTCAACAGTTCAAAAACCAAGGTTTGAAATAATAATTCATTTTTGATATAATAAAACACTCAATTTAAAATATTTATTATACATCGTTATATATAGACATTATTAATGAAGGTATTACTTATTAGACAATATGACCAAAGAAAAGTATGAAGAAATGGATGATTTAATGGACCGATTAGAAGTAGCTCATAATTTAATAACCAAGCTCAGACAATTGCTAACGATGGAGAAAACTGACTCGGTAATGGACCATTCGTTAAACAGAACAAGATTTTTTAAAATGGACGAAGACTACAGTAAACATTTTATTTATATTTATATGTATATATTATACATATTATATAATATAGGTATAATTATTAATGTGCATTTTTTAGAAACACAAAATGAAGAACGAGAAAATATTCGACAAAAAGCATTGGTTGAGAAAAAAAGAAAAGTCAAATTATTTAGTGAAACCATAGACTCAATCGTTGAAAGATATAATTCAGTAGTTGAAACGATAAATGCCCCAAATGATTACAAGTTTCTAGACGGTATTCAAATATTAAAACGCTTAGTTATTTTTTTTCTTTATTATTCATAAAATTTATGTTATCAGAGTTGAAAACGAATACAATACCTTTGGAATTGAAAAAAAACATAACAAAAAAGAAAAGAGATACGAAGGTAAGAATGTAACAATGAATTGTTCAAGTAAGAACTTGTAATCAAATTTACGAAAACCTTTACGGACTTGACAATTTCTAAACTCTAGAAACATGACTGTATATATTATGTAACTTCATTTAATTTTATATGAAAAGTCAAACATGGTGTGTCTTGACTTTAAAACATCTCGGATTCAATTCTATTGTCAATTATGTAATATTAAGCTATTTTTACTTTTCTTTAAATGTCAAGATTTTATTTGAATTTGCAAAATTCAAGTTGAAAGTAACGCATTTATAATAATGATCTGGAATGATATTTAATTACGGAATAATGGATATTAATATTATATTAACGTAGGAAGTAGAACATATTATTATTATGTTTTGTTTTAATTTGATTTTAATTACTCTGTTATCGGAGCTATCATGTTGTTCTTAAACATCATTTTTATATCATTCTTTGAATCTTAAGTATATAGTACAATTTTAAATATCTAACACAATAACTTAAATGCATTTTGTCTAAAAATGTAATTTTAATTTTATTCGTCCCATTATTTATTAAGTGTTCTACGAAAAATTTTATCGTTTCGACTTTCAATTATTCATCGCTATTTATAGGTATACAATTAATGTAACTAACAAATTATGAAAGTACTTAGAAATAAATTTATTTCTTAATTTATATTGTGGACAAAATCGGATGCAGTTTAGTGCTTAGTGTATACTATATTTTTCATTATTTCAATTATTCCGAAAACTTTCTGGAAAATAAAATAAAACACAATTTTAGATTAAAAGTTTAAGAAAATCTTCCAAGCTATTGAAGTCAGATTAACATGTTACCAATTTAGTGTATTATATAAATTTCCCTAAATACATATTATACATGCATAATAAATAAATATTGTAAAATGTGTATAAAAACCTATAAAACCGTAAAGAAAGTTAAAAACACTACTGGTATATAAAATACGACAAATGGTCTGGTTAATAACACTTTTATTTCAAATATAAATCGAGAAACTCGAATAAAACAAATTGTTTAAGACATAAATATCTATTATTATATTAAATATACCAAAGAAAATATTATTATTCGAAAGAATATTAATCACCGCATGCAAAGTTTTAATATAAATCCATTCAAATTTAACTTTAATCCCAGCAACAGATTGCAATACGACGTGATATTTACTGTACAGTCTTATAAACTTTCTAATGGGTTAGAACAAATTATAACGTTTAAAACCAAAACCAATGATCGTATTGCAAATTCATTTAAACTTACAGTTGAGCACTCAAATGGAATATTAATAATATACTTTTTATTATAAAAATAAAAATAAATGGTTAATTTATTATACCGCATCAAATAATCTAAATTGTCCGTTTTTCAAATTTAAATTTATTCAATGGTCTGCATTTAAAAAAATAATTAGAATAAATGAGAAATATTAAAAAAAAGCTTTAACATAATTGATCATTTTATGTTACGTTATGTTTTTCGTTCAATTTTCTAAATTGTATTGTGTTAGAATAAAGGTTCACATTGCCCCATTAAATACAATGACAATTGTTGTTCTTACAAATTACAATTGTATTTTATATAATAATAATTTGAGAACTGTACGTATTCCAAGTTCCATCAATATGGAAGAATTGTTCATTCAGTGATTCGTGTCTTTTTATAAATAGATATTATCATACCAACATCACATTCCCTTATTAATTATTCAAAACCTATTAACAGCTGTTAAAATTAAAAAAATTAATTAAGAATCATACAATCATAAAAATACTAATCACCTATATGTTTTTTTTTTAAACTGTACAAAACAAGTGCCAAAACTCAATACGTATGGTCGTTCATTATTTATTAAAAATACGATTCGTGAAAAATGTATGTATAACAATATTGAAGCAGTATTACATTTTTATCGGAACAAGATCGGAATAAAATCCGACACAATATCGCTGTTCGAATATGGCGGTGATATTCAGATACATCAACCCACAGCGCATTCGTAAAGAAATAGCGCGGCAGAGAATGGGAAATGTTGAAAAAAAATCATTCGTTTTTAATATTCTTTCTTTTTTATTATTATTCACACAAAAAATCCACTTGAAAGGATTCCGTTCCGTGTTCGAAAAAAAATTCTAAAACATACCGACCATCAATCAACCCGAGGCCAATATAATTTACACCTGCATTTGTAACTCATACGCATACGTCTGGATATATTACATATAAATCATATAATATATTATGGTTATCCTCGACTATGAAAATCGTCGGTATCGAATGATATTATATTGTACCTAATAATATCAATAATAAACCTACACGGAGGCCGCATGCATAAAACCCAATGCGTTTTAGTACCTATGTATATATTATATTTAGGAGATTTTTTTATCAAACAATACTCATTAATTCAAAAACTATTAACATTATTGAAATTTATTTTTTTATTCATATTAGACTATTATAAAACAATAATTTGAAGAAAAAATATATTTTTACCATTTATTGTTATTATAATTTATACTTTTTCTAATTATAAAATACATTTTTGATTCCAAAACAAAATATTATTGGAGTACTTGATTACATAAAAATCGAATTTTGGACAAATATTTTATAATTTATAAATATTTAAGGTTTTGATGAGCAAAGTAGAGTATCGTAGCTGAAGGTCTAAGGGTGCTCCATAAAATGTTGGTCCACTACTCCGCTCATCTAAACTTTAAAAACTTATTAATTATTATTACTAATTAACTATTCGTCTGAAATTTAAATTTTGAACATTAAAAATATTTTGCTTCTAAACATATCCAAATATGTAAAAATATTTTTTTGATAAAAGAATCACCAGATTTATAATACGAAATCGATAAGGCTTTATTAATAATTGTAACTTGTTAGTACAAGACTATTATCTCAAAATCTTAACCATTGTTGTACCGTCATAATAATCGTCGTGTAAGATACTTAAAACAACGTGCTACAGGATTACAAAGCTTACAAACCATAACCAATAATATCATGTATAATAATAATATTGTTATTATATGCCTACATTCCCGGAAACATTCATAACCTATATTGTTAAGATCAAGAGCAATTCATTGAATTGGCATGTATAAACAATTAAATTAATAGTTTTGAACAGTGTGTTTATGTACATTATGAGTAATAATATAATATAGGTCTACTTTAAATTTACTATTTATTATAAGTGTGTTATTAGTTATTACTCTTGACAGAAGTGTCTTACATGGGTGGAGATTAATAATTCTCATGACCTACAAAACATTTTACATTTAAAAACGATACGTAAAAAAATCTTGTTTATATTTGACAAATATTTTTATTTTATAAATTATAATATGGGAATGATTTGTTATATTAAAATTAATTAAAAATTCAATTAAGTATATTTTTTCATTTTGGAAATAAAAGCGATTTATTTCATTAATGATATTATTCAATAAGAAATGAAAAATTTGATAATATTTTTTATTTTCTGTGGCAAAAAATAATATATTATAGAAATATTACGTTCAGTTATAATGTATTTACAACTTTAATTTATGTTTTATGTATTATTGTTTATTTTAAGAAAAAATATGTAAGCTTTCTCTAAAATTTGACTAAATCTTACCCATAGTCCCGTAGTTATTATCAAAATATCCTCTGTAGCAAACAAATCTCTACCACTCTACATAATAACGAGACCTCTTCTATAGATAAACTAAATCGTAAATGCAGTTTCCCCCCTTCTATGTCAAGACCACCAATACAGTTTGCTATAAACTACGAATTACGATAATATTATGCATTATTATTAATATTATTTCTGTATATCGAGAAATATATAATATATAAATGGATATAGAATCGGGTTTACCGTTTTCAGAATCTGAAAAAGCCTCAACTGTTGTATTTTCTCAATAATATTTTTTCTTATCGTTTTATCCGTTCTCTGATTCGGGTAGTCGTTGTGACTCGCAGTGTGCGTGTTGTGCAAACAAAAACGGAATTGGAGCAAGCCAGAATTACGAGGAGATTCGTGTAAAGAGTCCATAGTGTTGTCGCTTAAAATTACAATAAGTAAACATTAATACACACTTTTAACATAATATTAGTAAAAAATATTAAATTTTAAGTCCAACTAAAAAAAAATGAACTAAATACTTTATAACTGCACCCACTACCTATCATTTAATATTATCGTTGTATCATTACCAGATCAGATTTTAGGAGTTTACTTTAAATCAAATGAGAATAATAAAATTTATTGTATTTACATAATATTGTAAGTATCTAAAATATTATTCAATAACGATACATCTGATATAATTTTTTAACAGTGAATGATTTTATACATTTATTTATGGTGCGCCAATGTAACCAATAGTATTATGTTTGAACGGGGATTTGTTCCAAGTTTTGTTCCCCGAACTGGGGCCCTTAGAGATCTTAATCCGGACTTGAATCGGAGTCCTCTATTCCCACACAAACCACCACCGTTTGTGAAAAAAAAGGCTTACAAAATCGTTAACGAACGTCCCGATGACATTAAGACACGAATACTTGGAAATCGTACCGCATACGATATTTTTTTCGCACAAAAACACGCAAGACGATATCGACACTCTAACATCTTAGGTATATTCGTTGGTAGTGTGTGTATTACTATTTTAGTCCTAGCATTCTTCGTTTCGTCGTGCAACCTTTGTTGATTCGGCCACAAACGATTATCCGTGTGTATCATCTTAAATAAAAACGTCATCTCATAGAAATATATCTTAATTCGAACGATACTGTCCATCGAAAATGTATTGCGCGCGTCATAATATCTATCGCGTGAACGGACGAGATACATCTGAAAATTTATGCTACCTACTCGTTTTCTGATCGATGCGTTTGCGAAAATTCGGCGTTCAATTTGGGCACAAACGAATGCTATTTAAATAATAGTAACCGTATTGCCGATTAGAAAACATAATCCAATGGTGTTAAAATGACGCAGCGACCACAAACTGACGTTGGTTGAAAGCCAGTCGTCTATTGTCAACGGGAAGCCACGTGAATCATCCCTATTTATTATCACGAACATTACTATAGATATATATTTTCACGACCAACTAACAAAAACGCGTGAGTCCGATACGCGGTGGTTTGGCTGCAAATGATGATAATAATGTACATGGTATTAATGTATAAATCATAGTCAACAGCGGTTGTGGGGCATAATAATTGCAGTGTCGACCGACTTGGGTACGACATAATATCGCCACCGTCACAATATTATAATATAGGACATAGGCGTTCGTCGTAATAACGACTATTGCAGCGACAGTGACAAACACGCGCTCGGATGTATACAAATAGCAATTATTATACGCGATCAAACAATAACAACTATGATAATTATAGTAGTAACTAGTAGTAGTAATAGTAGTAGTAGTAGTAATAGTATAGTAGTAATAGTACTGATCTATAATAGGCCCGATTATGAATGTCCATTGTGATTGGGAACGATATAACAAAGGTATTTTTTTTCTCGCGAAATAACAAATTCCCGTATTGCAGAGCGTATAGATAATTGCTCTAAATATAATTCTTACGCACGAGCGTGAACAAACTGAGGTGCATCTTCGGTGTAGATTGTATAAACTGTGTACCTATATTATCCTCTCACAAGATTGTGCTTACACTGCACTATACAATAACGATAACATAATATTGTTACAACATGTGTGTGAGTGAGTGTGTGTGTGTGTACATCGGAGAAGAAATCGAAGGATAAAAACCACCGTTGCGTATTATATCGACCGAAGAATTTCAAATATAGGCGCACCTAATTATCATTAAGTTTAATACTATGCAAAGAATACGGTACGCATGATTAGAGCGTATTTTTTGTCATCTGAGCGTATTTTAACCCGATCGATAAAACTGGAATAATCTCAACAATCTAATGTTTCATTTGTCTAAAATTGTATTTAAATACTAGGTAAAATAGACGATAGTTAAGATAGTACCTATATATATTCACAGAATATTATATTATATAGAATATGGATAATGATATACGGTTATTAAACAAAACAGTAGCTGGTTATAACACTTGTAACTGTTATATAAGGATAACCATTATTGAGAAAAGAAAAATATCATAACTAATTTGCCTAGTACTTACCCTAAACACATTTGTATACTTATTGATAATTAATAGTTAAATTTATTATATTTTTTCGATAATTACAAAAAATATGTATATAAAAAAATATTATTTATTTGAGTGCAAGTGGTAAACATAAGACAAGTCATCATTCAAAAAATTAAAAAGTGAGAACATTAAAAAATGACAAAAATTGTGTCTTCTAATTACTTAAAATTATATAAAAAAAATATTTTTAAAAACGCTTGTGTCCTTTGAAAGAATGTCTATTTTAAATGAAACACTCGGTATATTGTGAATATTGTTAGTAGATTATAATATAGAGACGAGAAATTTCGAGACGGCGCTTAATCGGATAACTGCATTTAAAACGTGGTTCGAATGAGATCGGCATAGTGCACTGTCTGCAACTCTGATTGAAAATCCGATGATAACTCGCATCAATATTACTATTATTATATTAAATTCATATAAAACAATTTAACCGTTTCGAACGGTTCACTGAAATATTATAATGTATACTGTTGTCGGTTGCAGAATGAAGGCCACGCCAATAAAGAAGCTAGTTCCATACTCCAGTCACCTTTTGACATATTGAATGACAGAATCGTCGACTCAAATGTTAAACCTACTTACCGTATTATCGGGAGCGATGTCATCAGCTACAAAACTATATACAACTATTCTTGCACTCTGTATGGACTCTATGGTACAAGACAAATGTGGCATATTTTTGAATCATGACAGCATTATTTTTTTTTTTTTTTTTTTTTTAGTTTAAGCCGGCAAGGTCAAAAATAGTTCAAATTTCCCGTTTCACAAACAGTGCAATTTATTCATTTTCTATTTATCTCATTTTTTTTTTTTTTTTTTTATTAAATCGTCTAATTCCTGATAATTTTTCCGTAAAAACTAAAAACAACTCGTGTTTTAATTTGAAAACATCATTCTATACTTAAGCAATGTTTCTAGCTTATATAAACATTTAAAAATGCATTTATTTTAATTATTTTTCTTAACTGTTGTATTTAGTTTTCAACTGACACCGAATAAATAAGTAATGAAATAAAATTAATTTTATTAAATTTTAATTTTAATTTAATAATCAACACACTAAGTATTATAATAGAATATATTAAAAATTCTAATACAACTTATTTTTAGCTGAAGGTAAAGGTTCGAAAAAAGAAAAAGCTAAAGAAAATGCGGCTATAGAAATGATACGTCAAATATTAAATGAACAAAACGCTAAAACGCTGCCAAATCATTTTAAACCATTCAATGAACAAGAGTAAGTAATCGAAGTAGTTGGTTTATGGTAATTATGTATATATCAAATGTGTACCATGTTATTCATTGTTCAATATTATATTTTATGTCATAATGGATAGTAATTATACAATAATATAAACTATTTAGTATAAACTATAAATATATTTAATTCAACACACAATTAGTTTACGCAAATAAATATGAAAATATAAAAAGTTTCATACCATTTTTTTTATAACAATTAATATCGTAAGTACTAAATTTAAGCTAATGATATATTTTAATATACTTATTTTTAGTTCAAAAATTCATAACATACACGTTATGACAAAATAATTTATAAAGTAAGAACGACAATTAATATATATATATATATATTAATTTACACACTGCAGTTTCTTAGTATATTTAATAAATCAAAACATACATCATGAAACTGTAATCATAGTGTACTATGTATGTGAATTAATAATATTGATCAAAACAGAATTTATATTTAAAATACTGTTATTAGTAATTACCTTAAATAGTATTGGTTCAAAACATTAACGTAATGTACCTAAGCTGGTCAATTACATACCTATCATTATATCAATAGATTCTTCAGGAACTCACAATTTTGGTATTTGAAAAATTTTCAGAAAGGATTTCATATATGGATGAGCTACATTGCTTACCAACTCTGACAGTTAATAATAATATATTATATGTATGAGCTATCTTAAGAGGATATCAACCCACCCGTAATTTTATTTATCCGTAAAAATAGCATTGCGTAGATTGTAAGGCAAACTTACAAAGATAGCATTCACAGTAGTGTTCATGCATTTTTCACAACACGTTATTTATGTAACTTTATCTATGTACAATTCCTATTAAGAAAGAACCTCAGCAACCAACCATCAATATATGCACAAAAGTTGCATGACTTTTCTACGCTTCCAACAGCGATAAATGGTTCACTCGGTGGGTCTGACAAACTGGTCGCCGTTGAGATTCTTTCTTAACGTAAATAAGCATAATAATATATAGTAGTATTTTTTTTTTTTGCATAAATATAAGTAAAAAAAAAAACATTTTTGTAATCTTTTAGCTATTGTTTTAAATAACAGATTGTAAATACATTTTAATAAATATATACCTATATAAGTAAAATAATCCAAATAATTCATTAGTAGAGATTCATTTTTTTTTTCATTTTTTTATCAAAAATGTGTGTGTATTCATGTAAAAACCATAAAAATATTAGAACACAGATTAGAGGCTTTATAGCTAATACCCATTACGTAATTATCAATAACCATTTCATTATTTTAGTATTTATAAGACTCTTAATGATAATATTATTAACAAAATAATTATCTATGAAACATTTTTAGAATAAATGACATACAAGCTTTGATCAAAACTAAACAAAATTATACAGAATTTTTAGAAGAAACGACAAAGGAAGACATTTCCTTGCCATTAGTAGTTATTAAATCTAAAAGTAAGGCGTACTTATCAAAATAAGATATTAATATATTTAACAAAAGTACAACTTTAATCACAAAAATTTTAGTTATTTAAATTTAAAACAAATAATCATTAAATTAATTTAAGTATGACACTTATAGAAACTAAGTAGTGTATATTCATTTTAATTTGTTTACTATAATATATTCTGTAATTATATTATTATTATAACAAAAATAACACAAACTTTTTTAACCATTCTTTAGTTTTAAAAAATTATACATAAATTAAGTTAAGTTTTCGGCTATCTGCACGTAATTTATAATTTCAACCTAACAAACAATATATTACAACAATTTGGTAGATTAATTTTATTGTATTTATCTTTAACAAAATATTTTATTTTTTTTTTTTTTTTACTAGTTCAGAGTTCCTAATAAAAAACTATTATAACTCAACAATTACGATAATTTATTCGAAATACTCGTAAAATAATATATTATAACATTATATATTTCAAAATAAGTATAAGACATTATACTTGTATAACTTAAGAATTTTTTTTTCTTAAGTTACTCTACACAAAATTTAAACTCGGCGTAATATATTAATTGGATTATGTTTACACTTAAAAACAGATATAACTGAAAATAAACAAAAATTTTTTTAAAAAAAAATAATAAATTACAGTGTAATACCTACCAATTTACGAGTGATCAACAGTACCTATATTAAAATTACCAAAAAAAAAAAAAAAAAAAACCGGCACGCGAAATGCTCATCCGACGAATATAATACTAACTACCCTATCTCACTGCAGCATAAATGTCCTTCCATTTATTATACAGGCATCGTGTTACTCGGACATCGGACTTGAGATATGTATGTGTGTGAGCGTTTTAAGTTTATAACATTCATTTTACCCTCTTACATCACAGAATTCAGTCAAGCGCGTGACTAGCTGACAGACATGGCATTTATCGGGACCACGTAAGTGGGATTAATTCATTTTACTTCACTCCTTCCCTTTCTCGAATTACATATATATATTATATAATATATGTTTGTACATGTATATTTCTTCACTAGATATAATAATAATGGAATATATTATCTTTACGTACCTACGGGCTTTGATTTATAAGTAAGTAAAAATTTATTTATAAAATGCAATTTACTGATAAGCTCACATTAATTTATAATAAATATTTTATCATACTTTTTAATTTCTATTAACTCTTATTTTACTCAATAACGTCAAATTAAATAATACATTTTATCTGAATATATAGATATAAGTACTACTATTTATCATATTTTGCAATTGTTTGCTGCCATTTTAGTGATCAATCTATACATTCATTCCAACTAAAATAAATACCTATTTTATTAAACTATTTTGTAATAATTTCATATAATATGTTTTGTATTTTTAAATAATTATTATACTTTCACATTTATATATTTTTAATTTTTTAAATAACTATAACTATAATTAAACATTATGTTATAAAAGTATGTCTACGTATTATATACTTTACCATGTATATTACATATTTTATACTTGTTAATATTATATATTTACATATTACGATATTTTATTAAATACATTTAAATCTAAATCATAGATTGCGTTTAAACACTACAATAACAATTTTTTTTAAAGGAGAAAAGTAAGTAACCACTCTGGTATGCAGTAGCCAGTAAGTATAGAATTTAGGTATATCGTCATTAAGTTGATAACTTTAAAGTATACGTTAAATATGAATCAAGTGATAAAAAAAATTAAGGTTTGAAGGTAAGTGATAAAAAAAAAAAAACACTTTAAAAGTAAAAAAAAATCATTTATTAACAAACAATCCTCAATCTACCTATCAAGAGTATATTTTAATTTAAAGGTAATATAGGTACTTTGATATAGATACGCTAAATTAACTTCATTGATACGTCAAACAGCAATAATAAAGTATACTCATTACACGTAATTTTAAACATAATATCGAAAACCGTCATTTTCACAAGCTCTTATCGATTTGTACCGTGAATATGAATAAAATTATTGTGACCATTTGATTATTTTGATGATTAAACACAAAATAGCCATTTATAGTTAAAATAATACAAAAAAATAGCAAAAATAATATTTACCTATTACCTTATAAATTAAATTAAATACATTTTCACGTAAGAATTATTTTTCTATCATGTTTAAAAAGAAAGAAATTTGTCTTCAAATTCAAACCCATTGTGATAAATTCATTAAACCATTACATACGGAAAATTATCCTGACCAAAGAATAACAGCCAGACTAGTAACCGTTAATGAATTTTTCCTGTGTTACAGCTGATATAATCGAGAAACGTAACTTTAGGTTACTGCGTGGTCAATTTCACGAAGTTGAATATATTATTATTTTATGGTTAGCTAGGTATAAGGCCGAATGGTTAGTTACAGTTGGTTACCCCTAAACGCTGCCTTAGTGACTAGACTAGAAGTTATAGTTTCCTAAATGGCAACCAAGAGTTTTAACCTTCGGCTAAATATATTATATGGATATCTCACCAAAGAATTAAATTATATCAAAACAACTTGCGACGTACACACTTTATCGTTAAATAATATAAATATAATTTTTAATTACTGTTTAGTATGAATTGCTTACACATTTTTTTTTTAACATTACCTTTACATAAAATAAATATTTGTATTATTAATATTCACAACAAAACAATTATTATTTAAATAAAACAATTATAGTATTCTTAACGTCAGTATATTTTTTGGTTAAATTTGTAATTATACCAAATAATTATAACTGTGTTCAAGATTACGTAAGCATCTTAACTATATTATACAATAACGTTTATTATAAGTTATAACCCATAATGTATAATACATATTATATCTCTAAATACAAGGTTTTACTGAGAATAAAACCTAAGTATCTTCAATTTGACTTTTATTTTTTAAGCAAATAAAAGTTTTATACAAATAAAAAATAAAAAAAGTAACCTTATTTATTTATGCTTATTTTAATTTATAAATTGTCTACGGCATTTAAATAAAATTATACAGCGTTTAAATTAAATTTATTAAAAATACTAAGTAGATTAATATGCATAATAAACAGTTGTAAAATTCGTTAATAACAACTTTTATAACTTTTTGTAAGCTAATGTATAGAATTTCATTCAATGAATTTAACATTATAAAATACAATAAATAGAATTATTAATAATTTTAAATTTAATCATAAAATAATAGAACATATATTAAAATTTAATTAAAATTAATTGTATGATTTAAGATCATTGATTTCCTCATTTTATCTAACTACCGAGAATATGAGAATGTACGTGCCTAAATTAATCTTCGATATGCAATGATGTAATATTTTTGAATACGCAGTGATAAAAAAAAAAATATTTTTTATTTATTTTTAATTTATCTGTTAATGATATTTTACTATAGATCAAACCTTAGATTCTTAAAAAAAAAAAAAAAAATGCTTCACCTTACAAACGTACAACATATAGCTAATTTGTATTAGGCAGAACTAATTTTGTTTGTTATTTTTAATATCAAAGTAAATAGACCAGTATATTAAAATTTAAAATGTTACCATAAGCAATTGCATTTTGAAGTATTTTTATCAAATCTGAAAAATATTTTTCTTGTGGTATAAACTTACAATATTTTTAAATGTTCATAACTCGTTTCAAAGTTAAAATATCAACAACAACAACTTACGTAATGTCATGAATAAAATGTATTTTTTTTAAATAAATTTGATAATAAGTCAATTCACTTTAATATTAGAGCTGAAAAAACAAAATTTGTTCTACTAAATGTAAATGTATTATTTTGTACATTTATAAAACGGAAACAATATATATTATGTGAGTGAGACGTCTTCTTAAATTAAAATTCCGATTTCACTCATAACTGTATAATAGTTTTTTTTTTTTTGTAATAAGTTTCAGATGTGCAAATAATAATGGTACAAATATATATCAAGAAAATACGACGAATATCAATACGGCTTTCTATGAAAGAAAAAAAACAAGGGGAAAAATAAATTGTTAATACGAACAACAATAGTTTTATAAGCACACCGCACAGTCGATAAAATGAAATGAAAAATAGACTAGCAAAAGAAAAACCTACCTCGAACACAAAAAAAATAATTATAATGATAAACATTAGAAGATGTTTTTTGTTCATTGTCTATGTTGTTTTAATACAAGTGTTGAAAAGTTCTCACTACACCAAAGTGTACAATATCTCTTAAAAGGAATTTTTCGTGAACACGGTAGTATCCGTTGTATAATTTAAACTTAATGTATAACATTATATACATCGTCGACAGTGACACAAAAACTGAATAATTCAACAAAAATACGTGCTGATTAAACGTAATATGTTTAAAAATAGAAATATAAGTTTTTAAAACATTACCTTTACAACACTAACATTTGGTTTCTTAACAATGTAATCTGATATACGATTATTCATTATCATACTCGTTCCAGATTAGAACTGGTTCACCCTTAAAATATTCCATGCATATAATATCTTGCGTTAAAATTATACCCATTACAAATATCCCAGTTAAAAATATTGTATATATAAAATATCCTCATTAATGTTATCCTTTATTATGTATGATCTCATTTATTATCTACTCGTAAATGTATTAAATTAGGTTAAAAACTTCAAATATATTAGTCATTACCATTTATTATTAATATCAAAATAAATTAATTTAATTTAATTTTCAAAAAAAATGCACGTGATAAATTAAAATCGTATCTAATAAAAAGTATTTTAGTTTTTAAATTATAAAATATTATTATAAATTTACAGTGGTATTTCTATTTAAAACCACAGAGTTAGCTTAAAATAAATATAACTTTTTATAATATGAAAAATACATTTAAAATTATTTAAAAGTTATCCTGAATAATTAACACATTAATAAATAAGCATACATTTTTTTAAATAAAAAGTTTTACGCTATACCTTACTATGCCTATAGTTTGGTATGCATACATATGCGAGTTTTTACTTGACCTGTGTTAACTATGTAAATATCCATCAAATTGCTTTTTTGGCTATTAACAAAAATTAAACTCGACATTTTATATTTTTCAAATGTCGATTCAATATTACAAGAGATTAAAAAAACATATCTAAGAGTCGTACACAAGTGTAATTCCTACCATATTAATTTGTTATGATTTGGCTGTTATATTATAATTTTTATTATTTAATAAAAATACTAGTATTTGTATTATATTGGTATTAGATACTTATTGCCGTTGATTATGCAATATTTTATACAGATAATGAAAACGGGATAATCATACGTGACTATTGACTGTTATATTTTACTAATTCAGAATAAAAGCATGTTGTTATGGTTAACCCGTAGTAATAAAAATATAATCTGAAGTACCTACATTGAAAATTAATAATATATATATGAAATAAGGGATAATATTAATGGAGACATTTTGTATACAGAATATTTGTAATAGGGATAATTTTAACGTAAGATATTTTGAGGGTCCACCATTAGAACTACAACACTAACCTATACACTGTGTATATTTAACATTTTAACTTCAGTTCAAGTAACAACTTGTCATTTTTATTATTCACAAAATAACGCGTATTTAAAATAGGTACTATAAGTCTATAACAATAACGATTACGACGTGTCGAAATAGTTTGAGTGATGGATTTGTCGAAAAAAAAATATTTATTACGAAATGATAAAAAAAAAATATGATTAATGATCGCAATTTGAAATAGGTACAAATTGCAGACACGAAAGTTATATTTAACCAGTAGGTACTACGGTGACGTATAAACATGACACAAAATGAGTTTAATTGTATACGGTGAAACTCATAAAAGATTAGAACAGTTCGGCGACCTCCTCGAAAATTATACTTAGAGTAAATAAATCTAAAACGAATACCTAGAAAAACAGATTTGATAGGTGGATTATGTTTCATGACCAACTCACTTAACTGAAATATGAATTACAGACAATAAAATATTTACTTTAAAATTTTAAATATTATGATTTAAATCAGTTTTTCTGATGTTAAATGATGTTTTAAAATGAATTCAAACTTTTATTTATCGGTTAAAACGCTTACATAATTTACAAGCAGTATCTAAAAAAAAATTTTCAGTAGTTAAAAATAGCAATAATATAATTTAACTAAAACTATTATTTTAATAAATTTCATAAGACTGTTGTCAACATTTTAACTTCAAAAACAATCATTGTTGAAATTTAAAATATTTAAAATATAATTATTTTTTTTTATACATAATTGCTTTGTTCTTTTAAAATTTTGACGTAATTTTTCTCATATTATTATTTTCTACATGATGGAATTTTGAATATATTGAAGATCAATTTTTAGCAATTTATAACATCAGCCCTGGTCAAGCCAATCTACGTAGGATACCTCAGTACTAACTTTTAATAAATAACAATAATACATGATACATTTATATAAATATTAAATTATACAATAATAAAATACAAGCGATTGTTCTTAACAAAGTTTAGTTTAACTAACCATATTACTATAAAAAAATAAATTACTATAAATAAGTTAAAAGTTATCTATCTTCACTCAGAATCAATTTTTGTATATTCCTAATTTTATTTTCAAATTTTTTTTATCAATTAATAAAAAAAAGAAGTAAATAAATACACTTAATTTGAAACGTAAGTATTTATTTTGAATAAAATATAAAAATAAATACATTTTTAATTTTACCAATAAACAAACTTTAATTCAATGTTTTTTGGTCTCAAAGGTCATAAGAAAATAACTTGGTGATATTATTTTAATTACATGTTTAGTATAGTGGAGCATAACATTTACAGAAGATTGATTCATTAAACTACAATTTATTAATTACCTTTTTTTTAAGAAATATCACATCAAAAAAATATTAATTGCAACTAAGTAACATTAATACAATATGTATATATTTACTTATTATGATATTTGTAAGTTGCACATTTTATTTTCTTAACGTTTATAATCGTATAAACGTAGAGTAATAGACATAAAATTTGAACAAGATATCATTTTGTTCCGGCTAAATATTTTAAAGCATTTCAAAAAACATAATTTTTCCTTCTTTTTGTTAGAAGTTTAAAAATTAACACGTTAAACATTATTTTTAACTGATTTTTACTAAAAGTTATCTTTCTAATATGTAACATTAGCCATTTTAATTTTTCAATTTTAGCAACCCAATAACACTTCAACTCCAATAGCTTACCCAAAATGGTAACCTATATTTTTGTTTTTATGTGCAAAAAATATATATGCTTTTTTCCCTTATTTTATAATAAATATTTAAGTCACTGACTGAAATAATAGAAGCGTATTGAATCGTAGGTATCTAATCGTAAAATAGTTAAATTATTAATATGTATAAATTGTGTTAAAATATAGAAAAGGGAAAAAAATATAAGATACACACACACACGCATATATATATATATATATACTACATGTTGTAAAAAAATATATTCCTCACATTTTAGAGCTTTCTTTTTAACTTCAATAGTTTTGTGTACATAACAGTAAAACTATATTTTTTCTATTGATCAAACGTTCATAATATTTTGATTTTTTTAGATATGATTTAATATATTGATTAACAATAGTGAGTAGTTATACAATTGAATCGATTACACAAAACATTTATGTATATAGATAAATGTCATCTATTGAAAACTTCTCACTAAAAAATTCAGGTATCAAAACATCAAGCAAAATAATGTATTCATTTAATGTAATTCTTTACTAGTATTAACTGTAATTTTAGGTCTATAAGATTAGGGTGCAAAATTATAAACGTTTAATTCGAGTTTTTTCAATACCTAGTTAGGAAGTCATTTGTAATCATTTATTAATTAATAATTTATAAGATCAGCTTTTTAATTACCCATAAAAGTTTAAATTACGGCAACTTTTTTAAGACCTAGCCTTTTTGTCATTTCAAAGTTTTTGATCGTTCAAAAAATATTGAGCGCATTTTGTAAGTATTTGTAAGCACATATTTAAAATTTTAAAACAAATTTCCTTTTAACTAATCATAAGCAAATTTATTGTTAATACCCAATGAATTTATTTATCAAATATTAAATAAGTCGTATTACTTTAACTATAATCAAATAAATTCTATTAGATTAAAGATAATCTTTAAGTTTTTAAAGTATGTGTTTATAAATGCTTGTATTTCATTTATTAACGTACATTTGTACTCACCGAAAAGTTTGTTTTCCAGAAGCTTGATTAATTGCCTATGTCCTGTCCACTAAGTAGCTTCTCTCCTCTCCTCCCCTCTACGACTGAGTTAAATCGATTCGAAAAATGTGTTTGTAAAGTATTTTGTTGCTTTTACCCATTTCAAATTATATAAAATGTAAAATCGCTTATTTTTCAAAATTCACCAAGAAATATGAGAATGACTATTCAATTAAGTTTAACTGCTAAAATAATTTTAAAGGTACATATAATATCACCTATTATTTTATTTTATTTTAGACCAATTTAAATCGTTAAGAAAATTTAAAAAAAAAACAAGATAATTTTTTGTGATAATTTTTTATTAGAGATAAAAAACCTTTAACTAATGGATATACGTTTTTAGAATAGATATTCAACGAGTATCCATTTATCGACTTACAATATTCATATTTCTAGTTTTGCTAAATATTCAAATTCAAAAAATATGAATAATTAATACTATAAATATTTCTAACGTTCGTAAGCTTTTTATAAAATGTTTTAATTTCTTACATTTCATAGACATAAATAAATTGGATAAATACAGTAATTTAAATATAATTAAAAATATTTATTCGTATTCTTCATTCTTATATTAAATCTTTTATATTTTACTTTTTAGATTAAACACAAATACAAAAACTATATAATTAACTCAACTCCGTTCATAATTGACTTTCTTATCCATAATATATTATGGTCCTTTTTAGTTTTCAAATTTAATACACTGGTTTGCCCCAATAACTCATCTAAGAGTTACCGAATTTTCACCATGTAAACAATGTCCTCAATCCCATTTTTTTACAATACCATTTTATTTTTTAACTAAAATTTAAGATGCTTGCTGAATTTTTTAATAAGTAATCGCATAAAAAATAGTTATGTCTTTAATATGTAATATTAAGTATTGTGTTAAAATGTAGAGGATGAAAAAGTAAAACTCTACCCAAAAGCGATCGGTATGGTTCAGGGTTATCCGGCACATATTCAGCAATACATATTATATACAATTTATTTCAGGTATGTTTATGTAATATTTAACTTCAGCACTTTAGTGAGTAGAAACAAAACAAACCTCTCTTTTATTTTGTCGACCAGACATTAATAATATTTGGATTTTTTTTTACAAATTAAACATTGAGTCTCATTTATGCTGACGAGAACAGTAGAACAGTAAAAAGTGTAACAAATAAAAATGTTAATTAAAAAAAAAAACAAAAAATACACACAAGTTTAATGCTGGATGTTTTTTCATCATCAACATTGAAGAACACTTTATTAAATAAATTTTTTACAAAAAAAAAAAACAAAATACTGCAAAATACTGTAGTTATCAGAATTCGAACTCCGTCCAAATGGAAAATATTAATTAATGTTTTGTAACCAATCACAGCATATTTTTTTTATACCTATACCTACTAATTGTTATGTAAATTGTTTGCTCGGTGTATTTTTAGATTTAGAAGAGTTTTTAACTAACAAGTATGTTTATTAAAATACAGTAAATAAAACAGATACAAAAACATGTTATATCAAAATTTAATACGAAAATTATTATGACATAATTAAAAACTTTTTTTAAGTTTATGGTAATAATGTGATAATCCTAGGTATTCTGCCATATTTTTTATACATAATATAATCGTAAATAAACTTTAAAATTATAACTACTATTAAACTAGCCAGCAATACGTTCAAACTATCCCAAAAATTCACCATGTCCGTCGTAGAATTTCTACACAATGTATTCCGGGGAAGATCGTGAATCTAAAATAATATGTTAAATTTTATATTTTAAAATAATTATTTTTACTTATCAAATATATTATATTTAATTTTTTAAATCTAAAATTCATATTTAAACTAGAGTAAAATATTATTCGAAGTTAAAATAAATTATTTACTTAATTTTTGTATATTAAATTTAGGTGTATATTATTTACTTTCATAATAAACGAAAAATCAAAAAGCCTACTTTCTAAGTTTAATTTTAAAATGTTATTGATTACACATTTTCTTATATCCTTAGTGTGATTTTAAACATATTTTATACTTTTTATTACATTAAAATTTTGTATAATAACCCACAATATAAATCTGCAACGAGTATATCAATTTTTGAACTTATATAATACAACCATATAAATGTTAAATACTTATGTTATATAAAGTTATACATTTTAATTGGATATAATAAAATAGTTACATCATCTTCCCAAGAACACTTACTGGAGTCAAGTAATATTCATCATTTTGCTGGTATGAACATTTTATATCTGATAAGTCCATTATTAATGATTTGTATTTAATTAAAAAGTCCTTGAAAAATCCCAAAAGTATAAAATCAAAAGTTACATAAAAACATATAAACCATTTTTTATGTGAATATACCTGGAAAGCTGGAGCAAACAAACAATTGCAACGCCAAGGATTTGCACCTAAATAAAGTTGAGCAATGTTACGATTTCGCTGGAACGCATTATCTAATGCATAGGTTGGTACCTTTAATAAAATAATATACGTAAGACAATAAATTGATTTGATTTATAACAAAAAAAAAAAAAACACAAACATTAGTTAAATTGTTTCCTTTAAAACTCATAACTCTGCAATGTGACAACCAATGTGATCCTTCTAATATGCTTATTGAACTAATCTGATTGTAATCTAAATGAATGTCCAAAAGTTTTGTGTAATAGCGATTGGTAAGCAAATCGTCCAATGTGGATATCTAAATTTACCAATAATTATTACCATTTTAATAGGATATAATACAAAACATGCTGTTAATTTATTACGATATTATCCCTTATATCCTCCGCTATTTATTATTTTATTTAAGCCAATTCCCAATATACGATTCCACGTCTACAACAATACATGGGTTTAAAAATATTATAAGACTATTACTTTTCAACGTTAGTTATTAATAAGATTTTTTTAGTGACAAGCTACTTATTTTTTCAAACTCGAAGATCAATACCGACAAACTGAATTTTTAAAACAAAAATAAAATAATTAGTTGGTTTTTTACATCAATACGATATATTATCTATAATAATAATATGATATATTTTATTTGTTTATTTTACAGATTAGGGCACTAAGTACTCTATAAAGTTGTCACACAGATACGTTTGTTTATGCAAACTGTTTAACTTTAAAAAAAAATAAATATATCCTATTTCCCTGCTTAATTTCTCACGCGCGACGTGTTGAATCGGTAAAGAGATAAATTGATAAAGTTTATTTTCGCTGTAGTTACATAATACCATTATTCGTATTTTATTTTGTTTCCCAATTTTAAATTCGTCCGATAATATTAAATTAAAACTACATTAGAACAACGACATCACTCATCACTATGGTTATGCACCTATCCATACGTTTACATTATAATTTATAACACTTAACGTAAAATGCTTATGTTTTTAGCCGGCTTTAGAAGTTGGATAACAAATGTGTTTGAATAATAATAATTACTAATACAACGTTTTCAAAAGATATTTACCTGATTGCCTTGGACTAATAGTGTTGTAGTATTGTGCGGAAGTATTTTCGGTAGCATTTTTAAGCCCCTATAACTACAATCGACTGTTATAACTGGATGTAAATAAAATGATGCACCTCTACCACGTACTACGTTGTCCAACGTGCAAACGCAATAGTCAGGTGGACTGCTAGGACACTCTTTCTCTAAATCCTAACGGAACGTATACATTTTATGCTTGTACATTTTATTTTATTTTTTTTTTTACTTTTTATCATATTTAATCATATGTTTACGTATGATTATAAAATTTAATTAAAATAAGCTTTCATTGACTCGACGCCAATAATTTCAGCGACCTAAATATAACTGTAGAATTAAATATTTTTATTAAAAATTGTTATGTGTATCTTAGTATTTATATGTTAGTTTAAATATTCATATATACAAGAAATAATTTTAAAAAAGTTTTCGTTCTTAATAGAAAAAGTAACTTGAGACTTTTAATTATATTATTAAAAAAAAAAAAAAATTATAACTATATTTCTTCAGATGAAACATTTATTCCTTAATTACCATGTCATTATATTAATTCCATAAATTCCATTCACTATAAAGCCGCATAATTATTATTAAGTTTCATATGGTATCAAATAATCTTAAAAAGTTTATATCTTAATTATTTATATAACGCACACTTAATAGCCGCAATACAGGGATCACGGGTTTTCCAATATATTTATATCCACCACAAGTCATACGGTTGGAATCCATCACTTTAAAAGTCGACGGATCTTTTGATACTTGGAGTAGAAGTAACCAAAATAAATCGTTTTTACAAAACCAAAATTCTCCTAAAAATAAATAATTTCATTTTTTAATAATAAAACTATGGAAATATTTAATAAGTAGATAATTAACGCATTACTCACCAGCTAACCAAATTTGTTTCAATTTCGGTAAGTATTCCGTTGTAGGTGAATACAAGTGATTGAGTTTATTGTAACTCAAATCTAAGACTTCCAAAGATGTTAAGTACTTAAATGTACTATATTTAACACGCTCGAGATTCAAATGAGATAAATTTAAAGTCTACAAATAACGTACAAATTTAAAAACTGCATTAATTCATTTATTTTGTTTTAGGATATTGTAAAAATACATTTTGTTTTACTATCAGCACTAGTTTTAAACACTACCTACCTACTCTATATAAATTTGATACTTAATGAAAACCTATTCTGGTAAAATTCCCATAATCTGCATATATTATAATGTATCATGCACTCGTTCATTTTTATACTAATACCCAATTTTAATATATAGCCTATATAGGCATAAATAAAAATCAAATATCGTAATTTTTATTTAAAAATCCAACTTCATAATATTATATTTTTTATTTACAATAGTTGATACCTACTCCCTATAAGCGACAGTTAATTAAAAGTAATCAAACAATTTTTATAAGTAATCATTATACAATAATAAAATTGACCCCTGCACATGTGTGATATGTATATGTGATATGGCTCAAATATTCATAAAAAAATATATAATTTAAATAAGTACGTGCGCTTACAAAGACCTTCAATAAAAATAAATTTAGTTAAATACATAAATAAATTTTACTTTCAAAATATCATATTATTTTTGTTTTGAAAATCATTCTCGTTCAAAAAAGCATTAATTATCACTTTTTTATGTGTATATTTATTAACATGAAATAAAAAGTTATCATATAACCCACATGCTTGTTTTTTCTATTTGTATACACAAATAAAATACGCTTTGATGTATAATCATTATATTATATGAGATAAAATTAATTTTAAAAATATAATATACTATGTACTTCAAAATAATTAGATAAGAGAACAAGTCCTTATAATTTATACATTCAAATATTATAAGACACATACAATTATAAAAGCACTGATTCAAAAGAAAAAAAATAATAAATAAATGTATTATAGAAGTAGGTTTATAAATTAAACTCGAAGAGCTAACGATGGGAACCTAATTATTTTTATTATTTACTAGTTATTATTTTACATTTAAAAAAAAAAAGAAAAAGCTCTGTTAATAATGAACCATCATTAGAAATAAGAACTTCCCTATTTAAAGTTTAACACAGATACCTTATAAATTAAAAGAGAATAAAATATGCATATTTAAACAAGTATGAAATTATCTATTTACATATTACACTAATTTTATTAGTCTATTACCGTGATTTTGAAAAACCTCCAGCACTTAAACCGATAAAAAAATAATTTTAATTCAAAATTCTCTCATTACAGTACCTATTACAAACATTTTATTAATCATCTATCTTATGCAATCAAAATCAATTTTTTTTCGAGTTATATCTATTCTATAATATAAAAATATTATCTCTAAACAAACGATTAAAAAGTAATAATAGTCTCTATAGAATATATGATACAACTATTACAACTAAGTTTGTAATAATGATAAGTTGTGACGAGTAAGAAATTTGTTTTAAATCGTAAATAAACTACGTCAATGCCAAGTCGTGTAGTAATTATGTTTCATTTTTCAACGCCATAAATAAAATTGAACTCACTAGGTGGAAGTCCCAGACAAATGAATTTTAAAACAGGCCTAATAAGGAAAAGTAAAGTATATACCCAGCTTAATGATACTATACAGTTAACGACATACAGCGTTACGAGACGACAAGAACCCGAGTTAACTGATGGGGAGAACAGTGCTTTCTATTTGCCCATTAATAAATTGTTATTTTTATGCACATAAATAACGTAGGTACCTATTATATTTTTTTTCCTAACAATCAATTTCTAAAAAACGCATAATTTTCAACAAAATATGTATAAGACGTTTTAATTTTAAATGTACGTCATATCTCAGTGAACACTCTACAAATTATAAAAGTCATCTGTCAGACAAATATTTTATAATTTTCAAAAAATGAAACACCTCAAATAGAATTTTTATATCACAAATATTTTCGGCTATTTCACTAGCTAAAGCATCTTCTGAGCATACGAGTATACCTACAATAGTTATAAAAAAAATCTTATGCAAAATTAATACCAAAAACAATAATAACTATTCAACTCCATAAATTTAATACATTTTATCCCAATTTGTTTCAATCTTAAGTTCTACTATAAGCTCACTAATTTTCCTCTTATCATCATTTCTAAATACACTTCTTTCTAAAGGTGCTATCTCCAACCAATCATTATCCACTAATACATTAATAAATCACAATCTGTTTTTATTTTATTATACTATGTTCGTATTTTATATGTTTATTATTATACAACTATTTAATATATACCTATAATTACCTTTGTTCAAAAATGTTTCATTTATTTAGCATTTAATCATATTATAATAAATGTACGTATTGATAAAAATAATATATAGTTTTTCTATACAGTAATCGTAGTAAATGGCTTATTTTAAATTTAAAATATGTTCAAATATAATACAAATTGTTTGTATTTTTAAAAACTCTTAATCAAACACTGATTTTTAATGAAATTCTCATGTAAATTATAATCAGATAGTTTTGAAAAGGTTTTTATGTTTACTAAAAAAATTCATCTACTTAATTCTTTTAGATACTCACATTTTTAAGTGATTAAGTCTTTCGAACAAAAATTAACTAAAAACGCTTAATTTTATACTATGACGTGTAAACGACCTATCTATGGGTATATGGCACAAACTGTATTACATTATCTCTTTCTTTACATCCATTACATAGTTTATTGAATAAAAAACCAACATAATAAAGAAATATAACCAACCCGTATGAATATTGAAGAAAAACGAATGATTACAAGACAAATGTAACTAGAATAGTTGCTTATCTAATAGTCTATTATTTGATCTTTTGACCACGAAGTAAATTATCTATGGTACAAAAAAAAAAAATTCTAAAACTCACAATTTCGATTTTTTATTCATACTGCTCTTTGTAGCAGGTACATAAACATAATAATATATACCATTTATATTACACATTGATACATATTTTTAATATAAGTAAGTAGGAGAACCTACCTGTTCTCCTAATTACTTAATGAAAATTAATAGTTCTACTTAAAATATAATACATTCATATGCACATAAAGTATAAACCCTATAATTAATTGTCTATCTTTTAGACACTTAAGAAACACAAAATTTGATAAATTAATAAAAATAAATGAATTTTAATTTTTTAATTTTGAGTTTAACACACAGAAAACAGAGGCGCAACGATAGAAAAATATGTTAAAATTTTAAAATGGTAACAAAATTTGTCTCATTAAAATATACTTTTTCGTTCAGTTCAGTTTTAAAAGTGAATATATTAAGTATATAGTTTAGATACTGTAGATACCTATTTACCAAAGTCAGTTTTGTGATAAATTGTTACGTTAAGTAACTTTTTACATTATAGTATTTACATAAATTTTACAAACTAATTTTAGTTACTTTACAGATCATACTATTGTTATGTTATTGTATTATACAGACATATATATATTGGCAATCACTTGGCAGGTGACCTGCCGGACCTTTCTTAAATTAAATTTAGTAAGTTACCCACCAGACCAGTTTAATAATTTATAATAAACTACTGACCATTTTAGTATTAATAGTTATTTATAAATAATAATAACGACATGAAAGGCCAATCTAAAATATTTTATACCCAATTAAATAATTATACATATTCACATACTTATCAAATCTATGATGTATTCAAAAAATTATAATAATAAACCCTAAAACTAGCGCAAAGATATGTACAATTGAATGTAATCCATATTAAAAATGAAAACTTTGTAAAAATGTATGATACACAATTCCGAAAATGTTTCTTTTGACTTAAATTTTACGATATTGAATAAAAATAATAAATTTGTTTGTTTCCCCCATAAATATTTAGATCACCTGTTAAACGAATAAACAAATATCTATAAGTAGATTAAATATATATATGTGTGTGTGTGTGTGTGTGTGTCGCATCCATAACGCGTAATTGTACAATTCACGAAATGGACAAAGTTTTATATCCATTTCGCGAAGTGAAAACGCTTTTTTCCACTTTGCGTAATTCTGCTATCTGGACAATATTTTATAAAATGGATACCTAAACTACACATAACGGAACTAGTTCCGTCATATGGACAAACATTTAGCGTAACAATATTTATAATTATATTTTTTATTATTTTGAACAGAGTACATAATTATAAATACTGATTATGAATATCATAATGAATTAATAATTATGAAAATAATTACCTAACTATGAATAATGAATATAATAAATTATGAAAATTATTAATTATAAATATAATGAAATATAAAAATTATGAAGTTGGAAATATTTATATTTGTTATTTATTTAAAAACATAAAATAGAATTATTATTGTAATATCAAGTGTTGAATTTTAAATTAATTTTAAAACAAGCACACTTTTTTGTTCGGCATTTGCTTTGAGAAAAACAGCTAAAAAATTCTTGTCCTCCTGTTAATGAAGAAATAATTTGTTTTAACGTTTTATCAACTTCATGTTTTACTTGCTTTAATTTAATAAAACTTAAAGAAGCCTGTTGTAAATTTCATGCACCATACTTTAATAATTCTATGTTCATTTCCCAATTGATTCATATCATTTGTTTTAATCAACCACTACTCCAATGATGTTTGCTGGATCCGACAGACCTCTATCCATCTTAGGAATTGGAATGATCACACAGTGCCCAACTTTAAATGTAGATAGTTAAACTTTCTATTTAGTTGAAATTATCGTGTAATATTATTATGAACAAACAACTAGGACACTAAATAACTATTAATTATTAACTGTAAGATAGGTAACAAAATAGTTTCTGTAGTGGAGACACCAACGCCAGTTGGTCAGTTATTCGACATAAGTACAGCCGTACAGTTAAACGTAAAAATAGGTACGGTGATAATTTTATATCACATCAGCTAGTCATTATAAGATATTAAAATCACTATAATAGATATTAATATAATTTAAATAATCTAAAATACCGAAATATTTTAGTGGTAATTAATTATTACTCTGATTTAAGTATTTTATGCAGGGTAATTCAGTTCAATATTTTACATACAGTTCATAATATAGTTTTGATAAATCTACATACAATTAAAAATATTGTTACGCTAAGTGTTTGTCCAGATAACGGAACTAGTTCTGTTATGTGTAGTTATACGAGTATAAGGTATCCTTTCGCGAAATGGATATAAATATTATTGTCGCTAAGTTATGGACTTAGCTTAATGTACCTAAATCGTATTTATTATTTAATTTTTTTTTCAATTTATAAAAACATTAAAATTACAACCAGTTTTCCGTCATATTCATTAAATATTAACAATAAATTAATCTTTACATTTGTTTTTATCCATATTATTAACAACATTTGGAGTTTTTTTTTCGGATTGTAAATTATTTTGTATACATATATAAAACGTTTTCAATTTTTAATCCCCCCATATGATAATACATTAAACAAACATATCAATTTGTCATGATCGAAATAATTACCTTTAAGTTGTGCAAGAACTCCGGAAACTCGCTAGTAATGTCTTTAATTTTGCTTTTGGTTATCGTCAACTTCACGAGTTTTGGATAAGGGCGCAGTGACACGCCTGGGTCGAAGTGGTCCAGCGGCCAATGACAGAGCGTGAGCATTTGAAATAAAAAATAACTAACAAACAGTTGTTTTAACACTAATTTATTGAATTACATATGACTATATATTTACTTTTTTCATACATTTTGGTTTTGTTGTTCTTCAAGTGCTTATATAAGCAGCGATGGACAGTATTTCGATTAAACGTAATTAAAATTCATGTTTAAAGTATATTTTATTTTAAAAATATAAGAATACAGTAAAAAAAAAGTGGAAAGTAACCAAGTAAGTAAATAATCGTTATACTGTACACCAATAGTTCTCAACCGTGGGGTGACATGTCACCTTAGGGTAACATGGACCTAGCTTAGGGGTGACGCAGAATTTTAACGAGAAAAGAAAAAAAAATTTAAAAAATTAATTTTTTCGAAAACAATCATATTATTTCTTATAATAAATATATTATACACCTATACCACCACTGTCATGTACATAACATACCTCAAAGTTCGTATCTTTATAATAGTTTGTATTATTTATATTTAATCTTTTGATCCGATAAACACGTGTACCTAGTAATTTGTTATTTTGATGTTAGGGTGACGCAATGTTTGATTCTAGTGGCTAAAGGTGATGTGAATCAAAAAAGGTTGAGAACTACTGCTGTACACTGTACAGTAGATGTCAAGTTAGTCACTGTAAGTCTAGAATACATGTATTGCATTTTAATTAAATCTTGGCTTATAGAAAGTACTGGGAATTTTTTACTTTTAACCCCCAAAGTCTCCATTATACCCAAATGTCTACCAGAAACCAATTTCAAAGTTAAGAATCTTAACATTTTTACTTCTTCTTGAGGTAAAGTTGAACACAAAGAAAAAATGAACATTGACACAATCACTGTAGAACCAAAACATTCATCGCTCCATTCAGAATCGAAAAGTATATCTTATATTTTGTATTTCAGTACCTATAATTTGATATTTTATGATTTCGAATATATAAAGTGATGTATTTTTCCCATTTCTGCCTATAAGTACTTAATTATAAAAAATAAAATCAAAATACCATCTTTAAAATCCCGTAAACCATTCATACCATCGAAGATTTCAAATGTTTCGATACATGCATACCTATATGGGTGTAGGTACACGTGAATATTCATCCACGACTTACTCACTCTTCAACCGAGTAATCCTCGCGAAAACCGCCACTGCAAGCTACTCGATACCCATCCGTCTTGTTGGCGCTCATGCATTTGTTCTGGGCCGTTGAAGACGCACACAATTCACCTAATTTCGTGCCCGCTGAAACGACCCGGTACAATGATAAAACCGTAACAAAGCTGAAAAAAATTATGCAAAATCACACGTCTTCCGCTTATACCTCATTGGTGGTGTTGATAAAATAGCTTACGTCAAAGCAATCAAATGAAATGCGTCCATTTTCTTAGCGACGTTCCCGCCACAGATTTTATGAAAAATGTCATATAGTCTGTGTTCCCGTCAAATACCTATTATGAGCGTCTAGTCACTCTGTCGCGTGATACGAATGCGATGAAGACAAGATAAGGAGTATAGATTTATGATTTGGTAAACACAAACAGTAGCAGGTACAATATTGTTTTAACAAATGATAATTTATTGCTCGATCGTATCAAATAATAATGATAGACCATATACATGTTTTAGACATATAGTAGGTATATTAAGTTATCAGTGACGCTTCAAATCTTATCACAATAAGGCTAACGTTTTATGTTTTGTTTGTATACTTACTTAAACATATATAATATTAACAACTTTGGCCAAATATTAGTGCGAATAAAATAAGAGTTACATTGACATTAAAAAAATCAACATATTTTGTGTAAGTTAATAACGACAAAATATAATGAGAATCAACAAATAAAAAAATGCCTCCACTATTGTTTTGAGAATAAGTCTCAGAGCATTGTATTTAGTTAAAACATACAAAACAACACAAGATCGTGTAAGGTGAAAAAAAATAAAATAATTAATACTACAAATGTTGACAATACTGAAGTGTTCATCGTTTATATAACATAATACAAGTATAGTTAACAACTTTATGAAATTGCAGGCAAAAAATTATACACCCACTAGTGCCTGCAACGTGCATAATAATATTAACGTATAGTACAGATAGGTACAATAGTTAGTAGTTATTCTAATGGTGATGCCATTGTAAATACAAAATAAAAACAGTGTTCGAAACGCGTACAATAACTAAATAATAACTTTTATGTTGAATTTTATTGCGAAGTATCAAATAAACCTAGTTAAAATGTAACAATACAAGCATTATTTAGGTATCATATCAATCATATAATAAGAATAATAATAATAATAGTTTAAGAATAAATATTTTCATGTACTCCTTAATTAAAAGTAACCTTTTTTTTCTTTTTTTTATTCTAAAAATATGCGATCGAAGGCACTAACAATTAACTTATAACGCACGCTCGTAAACAAAAATTGAAATTGAATAGTTAATGAACGAAATTCAATTCTCGTTCGAAGACAATTGTAAAGCATATTATCATTTTGATCGTAACTACATTATGCTCTACCGAACAATAAAAGGCGACGGCAGTGTATAAGTATATAAATTCAACGAGAAAACCCGTTCCGAATCGCATTAATACTGTTGGTGCTTACTAAATCGATATTATACATTATTAAGATGGGGATCAATAAAAATAAATATATTTGTTCAATTCAGAATATTGATACTCTGCAGTGTTATAAATAGTCAATAATTTCTAGCAAAAATTAAATTTGTTCAAAAAATATTATTATTGAACACTGCTGTATTACATGCGTGTAATATATTAAGAAAAAATTAGAAAAAAAACTATCGAGGACACAAAAAAATAAAGGAAAATAACTAAGCGAAATTTATGTAATAGAAAAATTTTGTAAACAGTGTGATGTCAATAAAAGAATAAATGTTACGTATATGATGAATACATTATATACGAATAGCGAAAATTTGAAATACGTGCCGTTTATGGATAAATTTTAGTTAAGACATTATAATATTATATTGTCTGAAATAAGATACGTATTTTTGAAGCTCATTAAAAAATTAAAGTTTTATGATAGAACAAATGGAGAAAAAAATTGTTTTAACGTATTTTGTTACAATATTGTTACGCTACTGGATAAGACGTTTCGATTTCAAATCCATCACCAAGAAAACCATGAGGTATTATTTTGACCTGACGATGATGACGACGACGGAGAAAACAGGTTGGTCAATGGTGAAAAAGATTTAGGAGACTTTAGTCCTTCGCCACTACCTTCGCCCTCCAATTCAGTTGATTTTTCACCGACCTCGGCGTCCGATACACAAGCGTTTACTTTAGTGTTAGTCTTGCGTTGCATTTCGCATTCGTAAGTGCGAACGTCAGCGATCGTCATCGATATCCAATCGTCGATCCACGCAAAGGCTTGACGGTGACCGAGCAACAAAATCTCACGTATCGTCTACGAATAATATAAAAATTCTGTACTTAGAATATTTAATTTACATTTTTAATACTACAAGAAATACTTGTCTAAAATGTTTTATTAATTTATTATAATCGTAATTAACATAAAAAGTTTATAATTTTTTTTATTTTGAACCAAATCTTAAATATTTTATAAATGATTAGACTACAACTTCACAAGGCTCTTTTTCTTACTCATATCCTGATAATATTATAAATTTATAGCTTTATATTTTTCTTCCCACAAGTCCTTACAAACCTAAAAAACCAACTAATTTCTTAGTATACAATGACTAGTAACAATTAATTTTGGTTTTAAATATTTGAAATTTTTAAAACTTAAACTTTTAAAAAACATTTTAATCAAAATTTTAAGCAGTTTTAGCAAAAAAATGAAACTTACCAAAAAAACCTTCCGCAAATTTTTAATTACTATAAAGAGATGAACTTTACGAAATCACTTGACCTTACGACTTCTGTAATATTTTACTCCAGTGTATCAAACGACTTATTTAGAATACATTACATTTATGAATGATATTATACATGAGATTTAATATTACTGAAATAAGTTTATATAAATAGTAAAATAAATTTGATTGTAATTTCAATATTAAATTAATAAGAATAATACAATATATTATTATAGATAGTTAGTAGGTACCTACTAATAACTTAATTCTTTAGTTATACATAAATAAGAACAACGTAACGGATTCACCGGGATTTGTATATTACTTTCGTTCGTTTAATTTAACTTTATTCGAATTAAGACGGAGTAAATTCAATCATTCATCACTTACGAAGTGACCATTTGGGATTTTAACTAACGAAGATTTTCTGTAGACTATCCTAGAGATTTAACACACTAATACCAATGCCATAAATAGCCGATGGTAGATATTAACTAATTTAATACTTATACTTAATATTATACACCTTCATTAAATTATTATAGTGTATTAAGAAAACACTAAACCCACTTTTGTTGTCTTAGTTAACAAATTCATAACATGGCAAATTTACGCTCAGCAGTTCACGTTTAGCTTCGTTAATTTAAAAATTAGAGTGAATCAACCTATTATATTAAACTTCATGGTAAAAACATAATTGAAGTCAGTATGTTGATTTTATACAATAATTCAATTTTTTAGCGAATTTTACGTATATAAAAAAGTGCAGCTTAAAAATGCTTATAACTCAAAAAAAAAAAGTTAACTGTCGTAAAAAAAAAATAAACAAACATAGATAATATTCTTAAAGTTAAGTTTCGTGATAGGTAGATTCACTCTTTTTAAGCTAAAAAAGCTAAACGTGAACTGTTGAACGTAAATTTGCTATGTCATGCACTTAAAAGACGAAGACAACAAATAAGAATGTATAACGTCCTCTTAACAATAATTATAAATTACTAATATATATATATAGTTATTAATAAAAATTATATTGTAAGTCGCATGGTATTTTATAATAATATTATCACAGTTTAAATTTACTTTTTGAATATACTCTTCGGCCTTGGACTGAATGCCCCATACTTCGAACGACGCCTCGACCACTTTGTACGAGCACATAATTGGTGAAGTTGTATTTTTCCAATTTTCCGGCAGGGGACCTCTCATGGTCTTTTTCGACTGGAAAAACTTCAGATCCTATAAACACATACACAACCATCTCATCACGTGTACGTTGTATCCATATGTTTATTATAATTCCACATTTGTAATATTTACACATTATAATATAATGTATAAAAAATAAATATTATATTTTCTCATTTTGCAAAATTATTATTATATAAGTACCTCTTCCTCTTTGTAGTGTTTAGGGCTGACTTCGTCGTACGCGATGTCCACAAAATCCACAATCCTTTCCACAAGCTTTTCGCCGGTCAACCCGAGACACTGAATTTCAGAGAACAAAAAATTTTTAATTGTAATACATGCAATGTGTTTATGTTTGCAAGAATAAATATAATATTATAACAACGAATGATTACGTTTTCTGTCGTTCCAGAGTTATCTTCGAATTTCGTGTGGATAGTTACGCTCAACTTCGGAATAAAAGAGCACTAACGAAAAAAAACAAATGATAAATATTTAACGATTCCAAAATAATGATTTTTTATCATATTTATGTATAATATATTAGAACCATCACAAATACTTACGGTATATTCTAAAATTCCGATTTCGGCACACAGACATGAAACCAACCAAAATAAACATATTATATTATATATTATTATACTCAGCTAAAAATATTAAACTTAGTATCGACTATTATTTAACTAAAATACCGCATTGCTGTTACTTTTAAAACCTACGTGTACATGCATACGTTATGTGTCGTGTTACCTATGGGCTATAAGTACGCACGTTACAATGCATATGTATGTTTATTAAATATTTCGTCATATTTTACCCAGTCTAATATATAATACAGCGAATTAATGTACATGTTTCGTTACCTATTATATACCTACTCACTTATGTCTCACATGTATGGTAATCTCACCATACGCTTTTCAAACTTTCTACAATGTATGTTATTTACCGATAGAACCTAGTGTGCGTATATCATAATTTGATAGCAAATAGGCTATACATACGCCAAAATCTATTAATCTAAAATCTTATAAGATTATTTTTTATCAACATACACCAATATATCTTAATAATTGGCATCACTTACTGATTATTTATTTTTTCAGGTCATATTTGAGACAACTTTACATCATATTACAATACACATCAATCAGTAACTATTTAATATTTCACAACACTAAATTAAAGTTCAAAGCTATTAATATTCATAAAAAAGTTATCAAGTTATTAATGTCTACTCCATACTAGATTTACACGCCTCGAGTTTCTGTTTTAATAAAAAAAAATAATATTAATAATGTCAAGAGTAATAACATTAAAATCACTGCACACCGTCGCTTACTTAATTAATCGATATATACAAAATTTAATAACTGTATAGTATATTTACTATAATATAGACACGTATTTATTTATGTTTATTAACGTTTTTCACGCTCAAATCGCTGACTAAGAAAAAAGTGGTACGACACATCGATTTATATGAAAACAGTGTTGATAGTTATTTGTTGTCATTTAATACACGTTATTAATTAACACATTGTTTTTCATTGTAAAATAATTAAAGTGGTGAAATAATAACAAAATTAGGGTTAACACGGTTTTAATGATCAAATGTATTGCCATGTGTTTTAGGTGTATACTGTATATACTATATAAGTAATAAAATATGGTAACAATAATACGCTAAAAATAATTTAAAAAATCCCAGATTTTAAAGATAGAAAAAAAAATTTAATAAAAACTTCATTGGACCATCACAGTGAGTACTGAATATACTACGCGTGCATTACACTATAGTGACCTCATCCATTTTACTCTGTATATATTATATTATAAATATACTAAGCAATATTACCTGTGATCGTGAAAGGATAATAGTTCCACGATTTTTCAATGATGTAAAACAGTTTTGGAATGATCGCTTGAACCCAATATGGTAAACGACTGAAAATAAAATTTAGCAATTTTAATTTTCCCTGATCAATAAACACGTAATCAAATTAAAATATATTTTAAATTATATGATTTATTATTCATAAAGACTTCAATATTACAGTGTTAATAATTTTAAATATATTGATTTGAAAGTAACCTATTAATATATATTATGATGTAAAAAATTATTAACTAAATACACTAAATAAATGGTACACCCTTGTATAAATAGGTACTATTAGATAAAAGAATGAACTTTAAAAAAATATTTTCCAAAGTAATAATACGAATTAATTATTATTATTATTATTATTAAAT